ACCTTCTTAACGGCACTTAAGGGACATAAAGGGCCATTACTACCGCTTTACCGTTCAAAATATTCTAATAAAGTTGCGATGAGTTTTTTACGGCTATTAAGCCATCTTGTGCATTTCGCACTAAAAGAGGTTCTAAAAAGAACAATGTTTGACTTCAAGGTCTCCTAGTAAAAAAAATTTAAGCTTAAAGTATTACAACACATTTCATTTAAATCAAAAACTCGTAAAAGTGTGAAAACGAATGACAATGTCAGAAAATAAGTAAATAAATGAGGCAACTTGACATTTTTTACAGCAGAGCTACTACTTGAATCCCCAGCGGGAAATTTAATATCCAGTTAGTCAGCCCGGCGCCGAATATGTCCATGGTTGGCAACAATGAATCTAAAAATCGCGCCCTCGATTACGTAACTAAAAGTTTAATTGCTATCGAATATGCTATTATTGCTTTGTATCACTGTCCTCTGGACTGTGCTCTGTTTGGACTGTCCTCTGGAATAGAGGACAGTCCAAACAACCCTAATTAAGCTTGACTGGTACAGTGTTGTCCTTTTTTACATGTTTTCTTTTAATCAAAATATTTTAGGGAACAAAAATGAATTAATTATAAATATACAGGGTGTTCCAGAAATAAGTGCAAGTATTTTAACTCTTTGCGGTACGGGAAAATACTCCAAAAAAAACTTTTATAACTAATTATAAATAGTTAGTATAATAGATTAATTATAAATAATTAGTATAATAGAGTTTTTATTTAGAGTTAGTATAATAGATTAATTATAATAATTAGTATAATAGTTATAATAATAAACATGAACAAAACTCACCTTCTTAACTGCACTTAAGGGACATTACAACCGCTTTACCGTTCAAAATATTCTAATGAAGTTGCGAAGAGTTTTTTACGGCTATTAAGCCATCTTGTGCATTTCGCACTAAAAGAGGTTCTAAAAAGAACAATGTTCGACTGCAAAGTCTCCTAGTAAAAAAAATTAAGCTTAAGTATGTATTACAACACGAAAAAAAAAATTAAAAACCATTTAAATCAAAAACTGGTAAAAGTGTGAAAACGAATGACAATGTCAGGAAATAAGTAAATAAATGTGGCAACTTGACATTTTTTACTGCAGAGCTACCACTTGAATCCCAAGCCGGAAATTTAAATTCCAGTTAGTCAGCCCAGCGCCGAATATCTCAGAAACTAATTTACAACAATGTAGCAAATATCAAGAAGATTGACAATGAAACGAGAAAACCATAACCATAGTCCATAGTTCATATCAAATTAACTTTTAGTCACTTGATTAAGTTTAGGGTTGCCAACTTTAAAAATAAAAAATAGAGGACGAGAGGGTAAAAAGGAGGCACAGGTAAAACATTTTTTGAAACCTCGCTTAAGTGTCTATACTGTTTTCCAAAAAGTTATATAAAAGACTAGCGTGTACCAGCGACTTCGGTAGCGTCGAATTAATCATTTGTAATGATGATGATAAAGCAAAGCAAGAATTTCCATTAACATACAAACTGGATAAAATTTTCTCATATTTATGTCATCATCTTCATCACGCAGCCCCCTTTCACGTCCATAGTTGAACATAGGCCTCCTCCAAACGTCTCCAGTTCTCGCGGTTTTTAGAGGTTGCAATCCAGTTAGTTGTGAATCGGGTGGGAGGTCTGCCTTGGCTACGCTTGTCGGCTCTTGATCTCCACTCTATAAGTCTTTTGATCCATCTCCCGTCTGCCATTCTAGCAATGTGTCCAGCCCATCTCCACTTTTGTTTTGTGATTCGCTTGATAATGTCATGCACTCCCGTACGTCGGCGTATCTCTTCATTTCTTACTCGATCTCTCAAAGTCAGGCCAATCATAGATCTCTCCATCCGCCTCTGTGTCACTCTCAATTTTTCTGCGGTTGCTTTTGTTAGAGTGAGTGTCTCTGCGCCATAGGTCAAAACCGGGAGGATACATTGGTTGGCCTTTCTTTTCAGGTGTATTGGGATATTTGCTCTAAAGATGTCCCTCATTTTTCCGTAAGCCGCCCATCCCAAGGTAATTCGTCTAGCCAGTTCACAGGTTTGATTATCTCTGCTTATTTTGATCTCATGGCCCAAGTATACATATTTGTGGACTAATTCTATTCTGTTTTTGTGAATTTGTATGTGTTCGCTGGGCACCATATTAGACATTATCTTAGTCTTGTTAAAATTTATTGTTAGTCCAATCTCGTGTAATGCATCGTTAAGTTCTTGAAGCATGTCTTTGATCTCTCCCAGACTATCTGACACTATAACGATATCATCCGCAAAGCGTAGATGGTTGAGTATCCCTCCATCGATAACTATTCCTTTTTGTTGCCAAGTCAGCATTTTGAATGCATGCTCAAGAACAGTAATAAACAATTTTGGCGACATGGTATCGCCCTGCCTAACTCCCCTTTTTATTTTTATCTGGTTAGTTGTGGAATGTAGATTTACAGTTGTTGTAGCATTGTCATATATATTTTTTATTATGTTACAATATCCATGGTCGATTCTACATTCTGGTAGCGCTGTTAGGATGGCCGGTAACTCTACCGTATAGAACGCTTTTTTAAAATCGACATATATCAGTGCTAGGGGACGATTGTATTCGATGGTTTTTTCTATTAAGGTTTTTAAACACTGCAGATGATCGTTGGTACCAAATTCGGAACGGAAACCAGCTTGCTCTCTAGGTTGGTCCAATTTTGCCTCTAGTCTATTTGTTATAATTCGGGTATATAGTTTATAAAGACGGTTAAGAAGGCTAATTGGTCTGTAATTTTACAGGTCTGCTATGTCTCCTTTTTTATGTATGAGGATAATTATTGAGTTTATCCACTTTCTAGGGATATTTTGAATTTCCAGACAGAGATATTTATGTCAGCATGAGAAAAAACAATATGGCAATATTATATATAACTTGGTAATATTTAAGGGGTCATCTCGTTGGAATTTGTCTTTCGAAAAATCCGTTTGCCAAAAATAAGCTTTTTACGTCAAGCAGTTTAAGCAGAATCGTGGTTAAGAAATTACCCAACTTTTTGAAACACCCTGTATGATTTTTTAAAAAATTTCAAAATATGTAAAAAAACCAAATAAATTATGCTTGTCCAAGCGTTTTCCCGAAAGACTAACCGTTTTTTAAATAACAAATATTGTAATATTTGAGGGACGTTTTCACCCTCTTGGAATTTGAGATTCGAGAAACCCCTCCTTATCGAACCTCTAGACTCCACAGTCAATCCGTTTGCCAAAAATCAGCTTTAAACGTCAAGCAGTTTAAGCAGAATCGTGATTACTCAATGGTCATATTTTATGAAACAACCTGTATAAATTTATAAAATATCTTAAAATATGTAAAACAACAAAATAAAATATACGTGTTTAAGAGTTTTTCCGAAAAACTCACCGGTTTTTAAATAAAAAATATTTTAATATTTGAGTGATAGTTTCACCCCCTTAGTATTCGAGTTTCGAAAAAAAAGTTTTTATCGAACCTCTACACCCTAAAGTCAATCTGTTTTCCAAAAATCAACTTTTTACGTCAAGCGCTTTAAGCAGGATCGTGATTAATCAATGATCAGATTTTTCGAAACACCCTGTATACATTTTTAAAAAATCTTAAAATATGTAAAAAAACAAAATAAAATATACGTGTTTAAGCGTTTTTTCGGAAACTTGACCGTTTTTTAAATAAAAAATATCGTAATATTTGATTTGATTGTGATATTGTGGTTTCACCCTCTTGGAACTGGAATTTCGAAAAATCCCTTCTTATAGAACCTCTACACCCTAGAATCAACCTGTGTGCCAAAATTGAGCTTCTTACGTTGAGTGGTTTAAGCAGGATCGTGATTAATCAGTATGTCAGTCACTTAAGAATTTTATATATTAGTATAGATATGGGATTGATGTTTTTTCTTATTTTCTTAAAAATATTTATACACAAAACTTGTTAAAATAAAACAAACCATTTTCTCAATACGCAAGAGAAAAGAGGACAGTGAGATAAAAAAGAGGACTGTCCTCTGGAATAGAGGACGGTTGGCAACCCTAATTAAGCTTGACTGGCACAGCGTTGTCCACTTTTACATATTTTCTTTTAATCAAAATATTTTAGGGAACAAAAATGAATTAATTATAAATATACAGGGTGTCCCAGAAATAAGTGCAAGTATTTTAACTCTTTGCGGTACGGGAAAATACTCCGAAAAAAAAACTTTTATAACGGCGCCTGCAATAGGCTTTTATAGCCACTCAAGTTAGAGAGGGATGAAGAACAATGATCCGAGCAATTGAGACATGATGTCACCATACTCTTTCGAGAGTTAACGGATGAGAAGAAGTAGAAGATATTTCCTTAGGAAAATATATTAAATAAACATTTTTTTTTTGTTTCGTTTCTTTGACCTGTATACTATATATTTTTTGTTTTTACTCTTGGCTTTGGGTCGTTAGGTTAGGTAATAATTTATTACACTTAGAAAAATATGACATTTATTAATAAACTCTAGAATTATAAAAAATAGTAGTCTAAGGCACGATTCTCACTGTAACATAACTCACCGTCTCCACAGAAAACATGAAGTAAAGTCACTGTTAGCAATTTAAGAATATTTACCTTGACGTTGGCGGTACGGCGACGTTACGTATAGTGATAATCGCGCATAATACACGCAGGCTGCCTTAAAAAAGATATTTACAATTCTTAAAAGTTAGGTAATAAAATAATAAATACCATTTTAACAGATTAATTAAACTAAGTATCAACTTATACTTCAGTATATTGATATATAATTTAAGATTTGAACTGTCTCTAAAATATATTATCACCACATACTTATAATGCACAAGAATTTAAACTATATTTTAAGTAACTATAAATTATTTTAATACGATCACAATAAAAAACATTAAGTTCTAAATTTTAAAACTAGGCATTCCCTAACATAAATTACCTACTACGCGCTTTTTTTAATATTATTCTGGCAGACTATTTTGCCTTGCAAAACTCTCCTTGGCTACTTTTATGAGTTGTTCGGACATCGCTTCGCCCGACTCATGAACCATTTTATGGAAAATGCTACTCGGATTTTGTAAAAGATTATTTGGATGATCGAATTCCATCATAGTTCCAGAATCCATAACCAAAACTTTATCGGAATCCATAATAGTGTTCAAACGATGAGCCACTGTGATAACGGTACAGTTAGCGAACTTTTTTCGGATGGTCTTCTGAATTAAAGCATCAGTCCTAAAATTCGTTTAAATAAATAATTTAATAAATTATTGAAGAACAAAAAGTGATATACAGGGTGGTCCGAACTGTATTCCGGAAACTTCGGCGGCATATTCTGCAGATAAAAATAAGCAAAAAAGTTTGCATAAATGTATATCCTAAAATGCGAAGAAGATACGGGGTGTAGAAGTTTCATTTTTATTTCGATTTTTTCCAAATAATTTCTGAAGGAACGTCAATATTTGGATGAAAATTGGTGTCGGGGAGTTCTTTGACATGAGAAATTCCATTTTGATATCAATATGATTCCTAATAGTAAAAAAACACCTACATGTGTTTTAACTGTTTTGAAGAATAATAACTTTTCGTCCGTACCTGTATAAAACTGTTGAGTGAAAAAATATACTTTTCCATGACTTTTTACGTAAAAAATGTCTTTTGATAAAAATCGTTACGAGCAACCGTTCTCAGGATATTATAATAATAATAATAGCTCCCGTATATAGCATTTAACGCCTTGGGAGTAGCAAGGTACAGCTTGCCATGCTAGAGCCGTTCGGTATACAAAGAACGTAATGTGGCTAACACTACGCTTCAACCGCCTATTATTACCTCAGGATTGTGAATCCCAAGTACTCATTTAAGGCTGAGTCGACCTAGGTACCGAATGTGGGATTCGAACCCACTACCTTGAGATTGGTAGACGAGAGCCTGTACTTCTACGCCACCGGGCACCTTGTCAGGATATTTAGAATGGAAATAGTCAATACATGTCATTATTGACAAAAAATAAACACGCTGAGTAAATAGTTATTTGACTGAAATAATAAATTTGGGAAATTTTTATTTTTTTAAATTAATCATTAATTTTCTGCGAAAAAATGATGATTAAACAGTTTCTGTTGAACTTTTGACACAAAAACTTTTCAAATTTATTATTTCAGTCTAAAAACTATTTAGTCAACATATTTAATTTATGTCAATTGTGATAGGTATTGATAATATCCTTGTTTATAATAAAGGAATAATATCAATTCCAAATATCTCGAGAACCATTACTCGTAGCAATTTTTACCAAGAGATATTTTTTACGTAAAAAACATCGTAAATATATATTTTTTGCTCAGTAGTTTTATACAGGTACGGACGAAAAGTCATTACTCTTCAGATATGTTAAAAGATATGCAGGTGGCGCACTCTACAAGTAGGAGTCATTAAAATCAAATTTCTCATGCAAAAACTCCCAAATACCAAATGTCATCCAAATATTGATGTTACTTTAGAAATTATTCGGAAAAAATCGAAATAAAAATCTCCGAAACTAAGCATTTTAGGACGTATATTTATACGAACTTATTTATTTATTTTTATCTGCAGAATCTGCTGCCGAAGTTTCCGGAATACGGTTCGGACTACCCTGTATATTGAACATACTGTGGATCAACATTTGCAGTCGCTTCGTCCAGCATCAAAATTTTGTTTTTACGGATAATGGCTCTGGCTAAACAAATAAGCTGTCTTTGCCCCACACTGTAGTTAGCACCTCTATCCATAACTCTATTTTCTAATCTGTTGATAACATTAGCTGGATCCTTTAATTCGACATCTTCAATTGCTTTATATAGTATTTCATCATTGTATTGGTCAAATGGATCTAGAAAATATAGGGAGTTATATTTGCGTGTCTAGAGTTGAAAAAGCTCTATGTAATAAAACCGCGAATATTTGTATTAGAAAATGTTAATTTCTTAATTATCTATCTAACAAAAAATATATATACAGGATGTCCGATATATAAAAAAAGCGAAGAAAAACTATTTTATATTTTAGAAAACTTGGCATAGAACTTTGAACACTCTGTATGGTTTAAGACTATGATATTTATAGCAAAGTAAGTACGTATAATTGGTTTTATAGTAAAAAGGATGAAAAAATATGTTTTTATTTTTTTATTAATATCTCTGAAACTAGGAAAACATATCTATTAAATAAAGCTTCATTCAGAACCTCGAAATCAGTCGAATAAATTAGTAGTTTCAATTAGCCGTAGAAGTTTGTTCACCTAATTTTAATGTAAGCATTCAGAACGTCATAATAAGTGATAGTAATTTTCAATTAATGGAAAAATTAACAAACTTTTGACTTTTCCACTAATTATACTTCAAAATTTGCGAGGAATGTCATTTTGGCCTTTGATTATCACCCGTCAAGAAAAATTTTGGTTAGAAATCAGAAGTTTATTGTTTTATAAGCTAAATATTATGCTTTCTCTATGGATACAACAGACTACCGCAAGCTGTTGCTAGGATATTTTATTAATTTTAATTGTGTTTTTTAGACATTGTGAATGATCGTAAACTAAAAAGTATAAAGTGTAATTGAAACCACTAATGTATTCCATTAATTGGGAGGTTCTGAATGAACCTTAATATCTTAGGATTATGTAAAGTTGTCAGAGAGAAAGTCAAAAATGCAATAATATATTATAGGGTCTTCCAATTATTAACAAATTAATCCCGATTCACTCACACTTTTTTGAGTCACACTGTAGAAGTTAAAATGTTCTCTTGAAATACATATTAATACATACTTTAGGTTTGCACTTAAATTGCTAAGTTTTTTTTATTATAGGTGCTATAGATGCTTCACGCACTTTTACCAGACCCTGTATACAATACTATAAAAAAACAGCGTTAGAGTTCACTTGGAAGTGAAGATCGCTGTCGTTTAATATGTAAAATTATATGGTAAAAATCATCGAGAGCCGTTACAAAACAACTCGACGCCGCTTTTTTCCGATCATACCGTACATGTTTAATGTGAATCTTACCTAAGTTGTAACGTAAAGTGCCAGAAAATAGCACGGGGTCCTGAGGTATTATAGAAATGTTTGATCTGAGTGTTTCTAAGGAAATATCTTGAGTATTTATTTGGTCGATTCTGATCTTGCCTTCGATCTTTGCTAAACGAAACAGTGCAGAAATCAGCGAAGATTTCCCCGCTCCCGTTCTACCAACAATTCCAATTTTTTCATTAGATTTAATAGTCAAGTTCAAATGCTTCAAAACTAGAGCTCCTCCTTCATCGTATTTCAGCCCCGTATCATCAAAAATTACTTCGCCTTTGTCGGGCCAACTGCCAGGTGCTTTTTTCGGATTGACTGGCTCTTTTTCCGCCGGCAATTGTTTATATTCCAGTATCCTTTCCACCGACATCAACTGATTAGCTACTTCAGCCGACTGACGCAGACCCCATTGAAGTACCGTAGATAACGAAATGGCTTGTGTAATTGCTAATCCTACTTCTCCACCGCTCATTCCAATATCTATTAGGACAATACGTCATTAAAATAGTGAAATCGCTCAATTTTGTTGTTTACCTTCTCCAAACGTTAGAAAACTGAATGTAATTAAACCAATGAAAATACAACAGAAAAGATCCATACAAACTCCAAAAGCTGAACTGGCCGAAATGAACATAAACCATGCACCGGTGTGTGAATCTTGATGATTATCAAATTCATTACTCAAAACATTCTGAGCACCAAAGGCACGAATAGTTGTTAAACCATTTAATGTCGTGTTCAAATGTGTAAAAACTGGACTTCTCACTAAAAGAAATACGTTTATTTAAATTCAATAAATTTATTTATTACTTACTGACTCCCTCGAGTCGCTTTATATTCTTTGATGTCCTTAAATATATGCTTCTTATAACCAACGAAAGAGTAGTAATAACGGCCACCATAATCAAGAACATTGGATTAACTATAGTGATCAGGAAAACTGAGCCGAATGCCATTAAAATAAGCTGCAAGAAAGTATTTATTTAGATAAAAAAATAAATAGAAAGTTACAAACTTTGTATAAAAAAATTAAGGAAGGAAAATGCCATCCATGTATGCATGCAAGGTAGACGGACAAAGTTAAATTGGAAAGTGCCCATAACAGAGCCCATAAGGACAATACATATAAACACTATTTAGCGCTATTCTTGCAACGGTCGCGAACCAAAGCTTTTGAAAATTTCGGAGTGGTTCGGCTTTTTCCGGAATTATATCGTCAAATATTGTTTATTCAAATTTATTATTATTTTATTTTAATTTTAGAAATAAAATACAGTGTGTTGTACACAAGAAACTTTATTTTATATAAGTACATATATGAAATACCTATGAAACATTGGAAACCGACGTTATGCCACGATCCTCGATGGTTTTTCCAGTTCAAAGTTCACAGCACAGCTCTTTAAGTTTTTAATTACACCTTTTCATAATTATCACGGGTTAAACAAAACTTAAACTCACAAGATAGCAAATAATTACTTTGAAAATGGACGCTTTTAACACTTTTCGGAATTTTTTCAACGAGGGCAGTTTGGATTTCGAAAGATATTATAATTTTTGAAGAGTCTGACTTTGACAAGAGATATGGACAAGAGAAAAGTATTTCTGTTTTTGTGGGAGGTTGTTCTTAGCAACTGCTATAGCAGCGCCAGATCGCGTACAACGGTCGTGACCCAAAATAATTTCGCGACCTAAAATTTTGACGGGCATTCCAATCTTATTCCAATCTAATGGGACAAAGGGCCCTAGGGTGTACTTGACAGTTCTGTTTGACGATTCATTTTTCATTTGACACATTTGAATTTAATTTGAAATTTTCTGGATTTGTCAGTCTTTATTCTACTTCTGGTGTATTTATTTATTCTACTTCTGATAGTTGTTTAAAAGGTAGTAAATCTAGAAGGAAATTGTAGCAGAACTTAAATTAACAATGACATTATTGTGATTTATCGAAAAGACTGTAAAATCACAGATTATGCAGATTATAAACTTATCGTCAAAAGCATTGTTTTTAGTTGTTCCAATTTTCAGAGTTGCGCACTAGTTAAGTTACTAGATTGCGCACATAGCACGCCCACTTATGGGCTCTAAAATTGTGTCCAGCGCCTGACCCAGTTATTACGCTGTTTAAACGCGAGTTTATTTTAGCGCACAGGAAATTTTACTCGTTAGCTCATCGTCATAAAAAACAATTTTCATTCCACGAATTAGGGACAAGGTTTTTATCTGTACACATATACGAGTAGCATACCTAATCTGTGGTAAAATAGTTGGTTGTGTAGCGTGCGGTAGATCTCGGGAAAAAAGCTTCCCAGCCATGATAATTTTTCGCTACAGTTTTCGCTATAATAATTTTTCGCTAGTAAGCGACTATTCTGTCAGGAACTTCGCTAGTAAGCGACAATTCTGCCAGGAAGAAAGCTTCATCGTAACGAATACCTGGTTTAAACTTCCACCCCGAAGACTCTACATTTGGCAGTCACCACAACACAGCAAACCAAATATTGTCAGAAACCAAATAGATTTTATCCTTATTCACGATAGATTTAGGAATGGGATTCATGGTGTCAGGACATATCCCGGTAGGCTCTGACCACAACCCCATTGTAGGAACCCTAGATGTGCGGCTCAAAAAACTTAAAACCAAACGACCTACAACAGTTGATATTAGCAAGCTTCGACATTTACCTAAACAATCTGAGGTCAAAGACATAGTAAATCAGAAACTAGCAACCATAAACATCCACGATTTTGGAAATCGTATAGAGCAAGATTGGGACACCCTGAAGAACGCAATTGTCGCCATAGAAAAAGAAGTCATAGGCCCAAAAGAAACAAAAAGAAAAAAGAATGGATGACCGAGGTATTTGGAAATACTACGGATGATGGATAGGAGAAGATCATACAAGAATAAAGACACATCTATGTACAAAAAATTAGATAAAGAAATAAAAAGTATGATTAAGGATGCAAAGGAACAATGGATGAAAACAAAATGTATGGAGGTGGAAGAACTAGAACAAAGACACGACTATTTTGCAATGTATAAGAAAGTCAAAGAATTGACAGGACAAGGAAGACAATACTTTACAAATAAATTGGTAGGTAATAACAATCAACCTATAATGGAAGCAAATCAAGTTCTTCAGAAGAGGAGAGAGCTATAAGAAATAGTAAAGTAGGAAAAGCCTGCAGCCCGGATGAAGTACATGTTGAAATGCTCAAACTGATAAATGAAGAAAACATCCCTATGCTAGCTAGACTGTTAAACCAAATCTACAAAAGCAGTGAGATCCCACAAGATTGGCTGAAGTAAATTTTTGTCCCTATCCCAAAAAATAACACCGCAAAAAGATGCGAACACTTCAGATTAATAAGCCTAATGAGCCATGTTTTAAAAATACTTCTTAAAATAATTCAACACAGAATATTCAAAAAATATGAAATTGATTTAGACGACGGCCAATTTGGCTTTCGAGAAGGAATGGGGACCAGGGAAGCAATGTTTGGCCTGTCTGTTCTCTACAAAAATGTAGACACCAACAAAAATATGTATACATTTGTTTCATCGACTACGAAAAGGCCTTTGATAAAGTAGAACACACAGTGCTGTTTAACATCTTGCAAGAAAAAGGTCTAGACAAGAACGATATCCATTTCTTAAAAACACTATATTGGAATCAGACAGCATGCATAAGGTTAGGGCAAGACGAGACAGACGAAATACCAGTACAACGTGGAGTTCGTCAGGGATGTGTACTGTCTCCCTTGTTGTTTAATGTATACCCTGGATATATATTCGATAAGGCCCTACAAGATAAAGGCAATGACATAAAAATAAATGGCGTCCCAATTAACAACCTTAGGTATGCAGACGACACCGCGATTATCGCTGACAACCCTGAGGCTCTTCAAAAACTTCTAGACGACATAGTTCGGGCGGGAGATCCATTGGGCCTTAAAATAAACACCGCAAACCCCAAGATAATGGTAGTTAGTAGGAGAAATATTCCACCACCCAACATACGAGTATACGGACAATGCGTAGACACGGTAAATAAGTTCAAATACCTGGGATCCTGGCTAACATCAGACCTTGACCCCGACTTAGAAGTTACATCGCGTATAGAACAAGCTAGGTCAATGTTTAACAAAATGAGAAACCTATTATGTAACCGATCACTCAACATCAACATACGTCTGCGTTTTGTCCATTGTTATGTATACTCAATCCTCTTATACGGCTGTGAGACATGGACTATTAAAATAAACACCATGAGACGGTTGGACGCTTTTGAAATGTGGATCTACAGAAGACTCTTGAAAATACCCTGGACAGATCATGTACGCAATGAAGAGGTTCTTGGGAGTCTTAACAGGGACAGGGAATTAATTGCAAATATAAAAAAACGAAAGACAGCATACCTGGGCCATGTCATGCAAAGTAGCAGAGCAAAGCTTCTGAAGTTGATTATGGAGGGAAAGGTAGAAGGCAGAAGAGGACTTGGGAGACGCAAGCACTCTTGGTTGAAAAACTTACGAGACTGGACTGGACTGAACTCACACGAACTGTTTCGAGCTGCACAGGACAGACAGTGTTCCGCCGCGATTGTTGCCAACCTTCATTAGAAGATGGTACTACAAGAAGAAGAAGCGACTATACAGGGTGAGTTTTAAATAAGTGCAAATATTTTCAGGGCTGATAAAAGGCTCGATAAGAGAAACATATTTTCTCTTTGCCGTTTTTCAAATAAATCCAAAACAATCGAGTTATTTCACTTTGAAAATTTCCAAAAAAAATATTTTTTAATTTTGAGAACCACTGGATCTTTTCTGGATTGTCTGTCTTGTAAATTTAATCTACTACCTATGTTGCCATATTATCAAGAAATCGTGACTTTTAACTAAAAACTAGAAAAATTTCCAATTTTTTTTTTTCAAAAAAATCCAAATTTTCAAAAAAAAAATTCGCGAAAAAAATCTCATAATCGTATTTCTGGGGTCGAAATATACTACCCTTAAAAATATTTGCACTTATTTAAGACTCGCCCTGTGTAATATACATACGTGGTAGTAAACCGATCATTTATGAAATTCACTTAAAATTAACTAATTATATATTTTTTCTTTGATTTTTGCTTTTATTTACTATTTGTCAAAGAATTTAGATACGTCAATTTGACTTACATGCTTCAGTAGCGTATCGGATGTTTCTTTTAATAAATAATTATTTTAGTAATCTATGTGTATTAGAATTATTGTATATTTTTATAACAATTTTAATAACTACCAACATTTATTCACAACGTAAGATAAAACAACAAATTATTCAGTCTACCCTACATCATATTTTTACCCGCTTTGAATAAAATTAGAACGGCACTGATAAACCGGAATTTAAGTCGGCCATTTTAGGGGCCTGTCACGGTCGATCTAAGATTTTTCATATGCTCCTTCCTTAATCTTTTTATTCAAAGGTTACAAATCTTACTTGCGATGCATCTAAAATAGCTTTAGGTAGTAGCTCATCTACGGATCCTATATCTTTTGAAAATCTATTTAGAATCCTACCTCCTGGATTAGTATCAAAGAATCTCATTGGGGAACGAACAACGCTTGTAAAAATGTTGTCGTGTAACTTTTGAGAGCAGAGCGCAGTTAATTTATAGAAAAGTAATGAACGACTCAGCGCCAAAACAAAGAGAATTGCGACTAGACCACCGTAAATATAAAGAAACGTGTCTCTTCCCCAGTAAAAAGCGTCAAAGATGTTGAGCGGTGTAATTTCAACATCGTCAGAGGTAACAATGGTATTATTGTTTTCTGCAGGTAATGAAGTAGCGTTTACTGCTTTAAAATCCTCTATTTTCACCCAAAAACTAACAAAATAATCTACGGCCATAGCTGCACCTATAATTTAATGTTGGTATTAGTTTATTTTTAATATACAGGGTTGTTCACCACATACGCCACTGAGTATTGTACCTAAACAATTAAATTTTTACAAATTGAAGTTCTGAGTTCGTTGAAGTACCTACTATTAGAGCTACAATTTAAAAATATTTTTACAAGATACAGTGTCGAAAATAATTAAAAAATATCAAAGTTGTATTTTCGAATTATTGAACATCCTGTATATTATTACATTTTTACTTTTTATGATTAAAATAAAGATTAGTTTGATTAAGGTTTACTGCATTTTAATCTCACTGTTTTTGAAATATTTACGTTTTTGTTAAAATACACTAACAATTTTAATGCTTCATTTCTCTCGGCGTTTTACGCCCACTTGCACCGTTTGTATAAACTTTGTTTAAAGGCTAAACAGTGATTAACTATATAATATTTTATTATAGGTAGTTAATCACGGTTTACCATTTAAACAAAGTTTATACAAACGGTGCATGCGGGCCTTAAGCTTTTAAAACCAAATATATATAAGTTTTTCTGTTTACTAAATTTTGTGTCGCAATAATAAAAATTATACTACCTTATAGAGGGTGTCTAGTAGTTATACATATACGGCAATAACTGGTTTAATTTAAATGAAACATCCTGTATATTTTACGAGAATCAGATGCACAATTTAATTGTGTATCAAAACTGTATTATACCATATTTTACTTATCTCTTCAACTTTTCGTAGAAAATCAATTTTCTTATAATTTAGACCTCATTTATCATTATACCCATAAAATATTGACATTTTAGATTATTTTTAAAGATGTAACAAATTTTCAAAGAGTACAGATACTAATACTGTCTATATAGTTCGTTTAATTCATTAAAAAATAATAAAACTGTTTAAAATATTTGTTACAGAGAACCAATTAATATGCTCCCAGTATTCAAAACTACATTAATTGACTGTTTGCGTTGATTAATACTTTAATAGTAACTGCTCCAAATACTAAAAAACTGAATTTTGTATGTGTATTATACAGTGTGGTAAAAAGATAGTAAGTGTGTATATACACCTTATAAATTTCACTTAATTTTTTGACGAATGCTTATTTATAACAACAGAGACGTTCATTTTCATAACTTATTATTATATTGATTTCTGATTCAAATCCACATTTATTTAGAATAATTTCTTAACTAAAACAATTAAGTATGTCATTAACTAATTTTCAGGCGGAAATAATGGTGGCATATTTAATTGGTATGGTATATACTCTTTTACAAAGATTTAAATAGTTTTATTTTTGTAAATAAATGGGCTTGCAATATTATTATTTTTAGCAATTGGAAATTTTGTACATTTATTGCTTTAAAAAAATCTAAAATGTCAATTTTCCATGGGTATCTTGATAAATGAGCTTTAAATTGACTTGAAGAGATAGGCAAAACTTGAAGAGATAAGTAAAAATGGTATAATACTATTTAATAGACAATTAAATTGTGCATCTGATTTTCATAAAAAAATACAGGGTGTCAGCGGCGTGCGGTGACAATTATAGGCGGGGAAGCGAATCGGTAAAAAACCCTATTTCGAGCATTACTTTTACATTTTCTTAAAAAACTTACCTTTGACATTTCCGAGGCCAATTCCATTGTTCGATTAAAATTCTATCGAAAATTGTTAAACAAACAAAAACACGTAAAGCAGAAGCAGAAGATTGTCCTTCTTGACCCTCCATTACAAACGAAACAGTAAACACTAAGTTAAATCCGAAAAAAATACAATATTACCTATAAAATCGCAAGCGAACCCGTCCGAATAAATTAAAAGTCGCGGAAGGCGGCCGAAAGATCGCTGCCGTGGCTAGCAACTGTGCGCGATTTTCCGGCTTAAATTTGTCGTTTACGTTCGAGGTCAATAACACCTACATGAAGGCATTTGGCCGACCGGCGGCGATTTCCAGGCGCGCATCCATGCAATCAAATGCTAATTAAATTTACTACGTTTATGTAAGGTTTCAAATAAATAATTTTAACAAATTAAATTAATCTTTTGTTATAAAATAACAGTATTATTAACGTTTAACTATTTATTTATTTTATCTTTAATAAGTTTAGGGAAGCGGTGCTTGGGAAGCGGTGCTTCCCCCGCTTCCATGGCCGCACGCCGCTGCAGGGTGTTCCATTTAAATTAAACGAGTTATTGCCGTTTAAAGCTAGTAATTATTATTTAAAATAAATATTTAGACACTCTGTATAAGGTAGTTTTATTCTTATTATTGCAACACAACAATATCTAATCAATCAATAATCTTCAGTAAATATTTAGTATTAAAAACCTTGATACCCTTGTAGAAATGAAGTCTTAAATTTTTTACTGCATTTTCACAAAATTGAAAATATTTCAAAAACGGTAAGGTTTAAGTGAGATAAACCTTAATCAAATTTACATATATTTCAATCGTAGAATCTAGAAATAGAATAATATACAGGGTGTTTCTTTAAAAAAATACAACTATATTTTTTATTTATTTGGGACACTCTGTATCTTGTAAAAATATTTTTAAATTGCAGCTCTAACAGTCCTGCAACGAACGGAAAATTTACAATTTGTAAAAATCTAATCGTTTAATTTCAATACTCCATGTCGTATGTGGTGAACAACCCCGTAGGATGAGTTGTTTATCTACCTTGAGCTAATAAAAATAGGGCAAACACGGTTATAACAACGCAACTATTTCCTCCAGAAAAAAGGTACTTCAGAAACAAATTTCCTTGAACTTTTCCTTTGGATGATTCCTCCTGAAGAGCTTTTACTTCAATTTCAGGTTCTTCTTCCTAAAAAATACGAAATTAGTTATAGTTGAGGGGTTCAGAAGTGAACTGGATCAAGTCGTATAAGATAATTATGGGGAAAATGAGAGTTAAAGTTTTATGTTACTTAATTGAAATAAAACAATCTGGAGAAGAAAACTTGACACAATGCTTTATTATATTCTAAATTGTTAGTGAAACGTGATAACCAGCTAACTCCATTTTTTACATTAATAAGTTTTTTTTATACCATTAAAAAGAGAAAAAATACTCTATAAGTAGGAAAAGCAAATACATTTTTTCCCATTAAAGAAAATTTGCTATTCTAACTCAATAATATCTGCTAACTCCCAGTGATCTGAAATAGCCACCGAAATGCTGCTATCTCCGTAATTTCCCTTACGATCACGCTAAAGCAAACACACGGATTCTTACTCGTGTGTTTCTTTAGTGCAATACGTCGATCCAGGGTCGCACTAGGACAAAGGGGCGCGAGTGGCAATGTAAGGAGGGGCCCGTGTGGATTTTTTTTGCGTATTTTTTCGCCTTACGTTTTGGTCAATTTTTCCCTATTATATACTGGGTGAGTCTTAAATAAGTGCAAATATTTTTAGGGGTAGTAATTTTCGACCCAAGAAACACGATTATGAGGTTTTTTTGCGCGATTTTTTTTCCTTGAACATTTGGATTTTTTTTAAATTTTGGAATTTTTTTTAATTTTTAGTTTAAAAACATACTTTGTTTGTAATATGGCAACATAGGTAGTAGATTAAATTTACAAGAAAGAAAATCCAATGATTCTCAAAATTATAGCAAAAAATTGGAAATTTTAAAAGTGAAATAACTCGGTTGTTTTGGATTTATTTGAAAAAACGGCAAAGAGAAAATATTATGTTTCTTTTATCGAGATTTACCAGCCCTGATAATATTTGCACTTTTTTAAGACTCACCCTGTATAGAAATCAAGGAACTATCCTAATGCAAGGTAAACCAATGCAATGCAAATGCCATAATGCAAAACAAAAGCAAATATTGTTAAGAATAAATAATGAACTATAAATGAGGCTCGCGAAGTCTGGGCCCCCCTAATAGTTATATATATAATATGGCCAGTCCGACCCTGCGTCGATCCGTTCTGTAAATACGGAGTATCCGTAAAGGGTAAGGGGAAAAACGAAATTCTCTATATACGAACAAATTAAAGTTTAAATAACCATTACTTACTTGTACAAGAATTTCCATAATACCTAATCAGTTTTATTTTTTTCAACGTTTTTCCACGTAAATGATGCATAATTTTGATAAAAATTAAAAAAATAAAGAGAAAAGTAATAAAAATTTAATAAAATCACGCACTGTTTTCCAAGCTCGGTCTACTATCGTTGTATAAACATTAGGATAAGCATGGAAGGATTTTACCATATCTTCTAAGAATTATAAGATTAGTTTTTAAATTATTTTCATATTCATTAAGTCCAAAATGCTACTACTTCAGTTCTTTAAAAATGCATTAAAAATTTATTCGCTTTTGGACTTGTATGTTTTGCTTCTAGACCAACGATATTATAAATATATGGTTATGAATATCATATTTTTTAAATTTAATTGATTATCTGTTTGGGTAATATTCAATTCCATTTTCAAAATTTCAAACAATAAAGGTTGCTATCTCCAGAAGTATATTTTTATTTCTTATTTCTGCAAGACGAATATCTGCTATCTCCCTATTGTGTCTGAAAAAAATGATGTAACACGAAATATTGAATTATATTGTTCCCCAGCAAATAAAATTCTTATATCTTTATCATATTAACGCATGAAAATTCTTCGTACATGTGTACATATTTTTGTACCGTTTTTTTGCTCTCCTATAAAATTAGGAGCAGTTTATCACATTTCACCGACGAAATGGTATAATTGCGAACTAAAGTAACTCAAAATACAACTGTGGTCATTTATAAGAATGTTTCTTTATTCTTTTTTAGACTTGCACCATTTTATCTCACAAAGTATTTGAAATTTTAGATATAAATTGATTCATCGGTACATTCTTCTTTGTCATTAAGGGATTTGTTGACTTCACATTGTCTATTAATAGTGTTTTCTTCGATTTATATAAAAATTATGGTATACCGGGTGCGCCTCAAAAGTGGCCATCCCTATAACTTTTTTATTTTTTCAGTTAAAAAAACGAGATTTGATATGTTAGTATATGACATAAATTAGGATTGATTGACGTATTCAATTGTTTTCGGTCACTTCCTGTTTCACCGGAAATTACTACAACTTTTGATTTTTAAATGGTACCCTCGGTATTTTTTCTACTTTATTCGATAGAAAATTACACTCTGAATTGAATGACATATCATATGTCAACTTTTGACGTTTTCGCATAATGAAATTATAACTTGCGGTTCGTAACGAAAATTTGACTCGAAATCACAAATTACCTATCACAGATGCGAAAGAAAGCGACTGCATCGGAAACCGCTCGGCAAACCCAACACGCCTATTGAGTGGTGTAAATACACCAGTCGTTTAGTCCGGAAACCTATGCTGTGTCGTATTCGCTTGCTGGAATGACATAGTGCGTGGTTATATGTTTCTTTTTAAAAACGCGTGTAGGATTTTTGTTGAACTTTTGAACTGTTATTTCTAAGTTTTGGTAATTTGTATATATTATTTAAAATGGGATGCAAATGTGTTTATTTATAAGAAAAAAAAAATATTTGTAGTATAAAAAATTAATTTATTTAACAAAATTTAATTAAAAATGTGACAAAATAGTTACCTTTCTATTGGTTCTATCGGACTTTTTTCGACTATACGCCTTTTCGCCTATATATTTTTACGACTATGTATAAATCTTTATTTGTAAACTTTAATACATCAAATATTTTCAACCTAATAAATCATTTAATGATGTAAATAAGAGGAAATTTCTTACATGGGTGGTCAAATTTTATAGTTTTCATTATATCAAACAGCCTCTGAGAAATGAATTTCATTTCTAGATTGAAAATATTTTATGCATTAAAGTTTACAAAAAATAAAGATTTATATAGTCGAAAAAAGTCCGATAGAACCAATAGAAAGGTAACTATTTTGTCACATCTGTAATTAAATTTTGTTAAATAAATTAATTTTTTATACTATAAATATCTTTTTTTTTCCTAATCTCCTACGAGCTGATATAATATGACGAGCAATCTATTAAATTACTGTGAAATTATACAGAAAAGTCCACAGACTTCGAGACACAGGAAAATCAAGTCCATTTAGCGTGTATCCAAATTTTGACAAGTTTTCAAAAATGACAGTTTTGTTTAGACTGACGTTTAATTTCACCTGACTTCTCGGTGAATGATTTCTTTTTATGGGGGTACATAAAATCTAAAATTTACGGCCATGAAGAAATTCAAAACTTGGAGCAGTTAAGGCAGAAAATATTTAATGCCTTTGACACTGTCACCCCTGATATGTTATCCAATGTGAAGAGGGGATTTTATGATCGTTTGGGTTATTGTTTAATGCAAGAGGGAGGCACTTTTGAACAATTTTTGTAATTTTTTAAATTTCATTATCCTGTTCTTTTACCGTTTACCCACTACCTACCTTGACGAACATTGGAAAACGAAGGTCCTTTTCAGGACCACAAATATTTTGATTGAGAAAATTGGTAACTTTTTTTTGGATTAAAAAACTAAAGTTGTTAATATAATACCAATTTAAAAGTGTTTTAGTAGTTTTAATACACACTATGATATAAAATGTATTATTATTATAATGTACATCATTAATACTGTTGTGTTCATTCGAAATGGCATTAAGGCCCAATTGCAACAATGATTTAAATTTTTCTTAAAGATAAGTAGAGTTTAGAATGAGCTGTATTTATATTTACTTTAATATTCACCTTAAATAAGGGAATTTGACTGATACAATTTTTGAATTTGAATTGTTTTTAATGATACTAACAATTTTAGTTCAATTTTTAATAAAATTTATTTAATATTAATAGAAATCCGAAAAGAGATTTTAAACCTCTTTTAGCGATTTATAACATTCTCAAATGAATTACAGGTGCCCTTATTTTCTATGAAAATCACACAGCTTTTTTCATAGTCGCTGCAGTTGCTATAGCTATAAAAAACTAATTTTTTAAGGTGTGAAAATTGCGACACACGCTAAATGGACTTGATTTTTCATATGTCTCGAAGTCTGTGGACCTTTTTGTATACCTCGATAGCATATTGGTGCAGATTATTTTCACCCAAACAAATAATAACCGAAACTATACATTGATGCGGATTGTCTATGAACTCTTTCTGCAGGTCACAGAAACCTGAACGGCGTAATTCGGTGTGCTTTCGCAATTGTAGTTAATTTGTGTCGAAATACCAAGTGCGTGGTACCAAATTATTCATAAAAAAATGTCATAAGTTGACATATGATATGTCATTCTATTCAGAATGTCATTTTCTATCGAATAAAGTAAAAAAAATCGGATGGTGCTATTTAAAAATCAAAAGTTGCAGTCATTTCCGGTGAAACAGGAAATGACCAAAAACAAATGAATACGTCAATCAATCCTAATTTATGTCATATACTAAAATACCAATTCTCGTTTTTTTTATCTGAAAAAATAAAAAATTTATAGGGGTGAGCCACTTTTGACACGCACCCGGTATAGGCGGGATAAAGAAAAGAAGATCTTTCATGTGTTGCCTTTTGGAGTGTGTTACGTTACGTCTACATGAAATAATAAGATTTTTCTTCCTCGTGCAGTTTTATTCAGATCAGCAACATGTCAGATATCTAAGTATTTGTAAGAAAAACAGTCTAACTTATTGATGTAGTGTAGTAATAGTGCAAATAATGATAAACCAAACTATACTTTCAGAATCGATAGAATCAGACCTTTCAGATGGCTGATAATCTGATTCACTTGATGCAAATGGTTCAGGCTTTGTCATCCATTTTATCAAAAAATATTTTTTTTAGTTCTAAACTTTAGCACGTGTGTTAAAATCGTGCACAGCGTTAAATTTTATGGACTTGGTCCAGTTTACTTCTGAAAGGGATCAACAGAATATTCATAAACCAAACAGAAACAGGCTATAGCTGGTTAATGCATGAAGTATGACTTGATTCATGGATATCTACTGGAAAAAACAAAATCTTATAAACGTATAAAGACGATTATCCTAAAATACAAGGAAATTGGACTTGATCCATTTTAATTCTAACCACTCAAGTATTTTTAAAATATTACAATGATTATTTACCGTTTCATGATCAGCATCGTCCTGCTCAGTTAAAATTGATTCAGGTATACTCAATGTGCTTATTGCACTTCCTAACGATTTACTGCTTTTTGTCGATATTTTTCTATCCCTTTTTACGCTCTTCGCGGCCTTTTTTTTCTCCTCTTCTGGTGCTTCTGGTTCAGTGGTTAGCAATTTGGCATACAGATTATCACTTTCAGATAGTTCTTTAAATGATCCTTCATTTTCAATTTTACCCTATAATACCAATTAATATTTTTTTTTAATTTTAATTACATTTTATATACCTACAGGGTGAGTCTTAAATAAGTGCAAATATTTTTAGGGTTAGTATATTTCGACCCCAGAAACACGTCTGTGAGGTTTGTTTGCAAAAAGGTAATTTTGAAAAATTGGAATTTTTTTTATTTTTTTTTTTTAGTTTTCAGTTAAAAACATATTTCTTGATAATATGGCAACATAGGTAGTAGATTAAATTTACAAGAAAGAAATCCTTTGAATATTTAATGGATATACCCCTTTGAAAAAAATATCGATTTCTTTATTTATTAACTTTTTCCACTTTTCTCACCTGGTACGGTTAGAAGACGTTAATGTAAAGGTGCGTTTAGACTTGAGCACGCACGAGCTGAGCGTACGCGCACAGCATTCGTTCGCGCTCTCGGCTCCGTTTAAATTAAAAACTTATTTTCTGACGAATGAAGTGATCCACTTGTGCGCGCACAGCAGAGTTGGGTTGGTGAAAACAATGGACGACCAAGAGATAGCCGCGGCTGCATTCATTGTTATGTACAGTTTAATTATAAAAAGAAGAAAAATCGAAAACATCGTCACTGGTGGCAAACCCAAATTACAGAAATCGATATAACTTATTTAACAACTTAGTGTTTTGAGGAGGGCTATGATCAGTTCAAAAACTTTACGAGAATGACCAGACCCGACTTTGAATATTTACTAAATTTAATTACACCGAAAATTACGAAAAAAGATAAAAATTTTAGAATACCAATATAAAAAAAGGAAGGAAAAGTAAGCTCGTGATAGGAGCTGGTGTTAGATGTAGCGGAATATTCATTTCTGAAAGCTAGGGACGTTTGTAGGGGTGAGACTGTGAAAATATTATTACATGCAGAAAACGACTTTTCATGTCTCTGTGCTTCATTAATATCGATATGTTCAATATTAATTTATTTGCAAGGTCTTGTCATGTCTTATTTTTTGGGTTTTTTTGAATAATGCCGTACGCAGAATATTTTACATCTCATTTTTTTTTGAAAGTTTTCATAATCTTGTATTAACAATAACAAACATTCGTTGTCCCACTCATTATTTTATTGAAGAAAATAAAAAAAAAATCCCACACGCACGCACGCAGACAAAACAAATTGCCGGTGCAAACTGAGCGTACGCGCATACATCAAATCCCTTTGAGCAAGGACCAAAAACCGACACCAGACGGCTCGCGTTCGCGGCTGCTCGCGCACAGACAGATTCAGAGTGAACGTGCGCGCATAGCCGTCTACATTTGAACATTCGCGAAGGATCAGTGCGTGCGTTTGAGGCCTCTACGTACCAATGAGGCCTCTACGGATAGAACAAGTGGAGCTCTGTATATTCGCCCCATTTAAACTGTGTTTCGAAAATGCACAGTTCGCGAGATATCTAATTTGACAGATTTTCTGGATATTATACCCCTTTAAAAAATCGATTTCTTTATTTATTAACTTTTTCCACTTTTCTCATCTGATATGATTAGAAGACGTTAATGTAAGAATTCTAAATGCAATTTAACCCCCTTTTAGGTTATGTTGTATTTTAAAAATTACCCGTGTATGTACTTTTTTGACAAACTGTGTAATCTAAAAAAATTAACTAATCAATATGCATCGATCCACACCCAAAAATCTCTCAAAATAAACAGCTCAGGAAAATTTTTGGAAAAAAATAAATAAAAAATTCGATTTTTTTCAAAGAGGTATATACAGAAAATCGAAATCTTTCAAATTAAGTATCTCGAAAACTGTGCATTTTCGAAACATAGTTTAAAAGAGGTGAATATAGAGCTCCACTAGCTCTATCCGTAGAGGCTTCAATGGTCGTTTAGCTACTAACCGTTTCCGAGAGGAAACATCTTTTTTTACAACTTTTTTTTCTGTCGGTATAATTTAATGTAGCGACCAAACGCCAAAATTGACTGCCACGTATACATAATTCCCACATTAACACCTTAAAAATTATTTAGCATCATAAAAAATAGACCTCCTACTAAAAGCACACGGATTTTGGTAGCTCGACCGGACTAATTATTATGGTTAATTTCAAAACTTATTTGAAAAACGGTAAAGAGAAAATATGTTTCTTTTATCGAAATCTACCAGCCCTGAAAATATTTGCACTTATTTAAGACTCACCATGTATAGCGAATCTATTCTTACATATATCTTACATTATTTAAAATAATAATATGGTCAGCATTTTTCAAATGGTGTACTTGATGAGTTACCAGGATACGGGTTTTATGAGAAAGATATCCATTAATACACTGGTCATACAGATGTTTAGAAACGTGGATATCTACAGCGGATAGTGGATCGTCTAGCAGATATATGTCAGCTTCGCGGTAGATTGCTCTGGCAAGATTGATTCTAGCTTTTTGTCCACCGCTCAACGAAGCTCCTCTATCTCCAACAATTGTCAAATCGCCATTAGAAAACTGATCAAAATCTTTCTCCAAAGCACACGCCTTTACTACAGCGCTATATCTCTTCTTGTCATACTCGCTGCCGAAGACAATGTTTTGTCTAACTGTAGCGGCGAAAACCCAAGGCTCTTGGGAAGCATAAGAAACAGTACCGTTCACCTGTATCTTACCAGATACTAATTCTAGTTCCCCTAATATAGTTTGTAGTAACGAACTTTTTCCACTACCTACTGGGCCTATGACACCGACAAGCGTCCCTTTTTTGACGTTCAAATTAATATTTTCTAACGCATTATCTGATAGTCGTGCATTCCATTTTACGGTTAGCTCTTGCAGCTTAATCTTGCTTTTATCTGCTTCATTACTATCGTCATAAGAGAGTTGCTTTTTGATTTCAAATTCGTCATTAAGCATAAATTCTTCTAAACGCTTAATACCAACAAAAACTTCTGCAATTTCAGATATGCCTCTCACAAACATCTGCGACATGGTCTGAGCCACTAAATTTAAGTAAGACATCAGGACGAAAACCTAAAAAAACTTTGTTAGTTTCGGAAAAATATGCAACTGAAGAGCACATGGGAATAACGATGAAAGTCCATTTTTGGCTAATTTTATTTTAATGCATAATACTTTTCGTCTTCTAGAATGAGTAAGGGGGGAGGGGTTAATCACCGCTACCTTAAAGATCTATTGTGTCCCCCTTTCTTGTGTTATAGCTCATCATACGGTCTATAACTCATAACTCATCATACATGGATCTGTCTGTTGTAGGGGGGACAGGGTATTCTTCCATCTAGCTACGCATCTCTTTGACGTAGTCCCCTCCTCATATTGAGGTTTTTGGTTGCAGGTTTCCTCTTGGTCCGGGCGGTTAAGCTAAGACTCCCGTGACACATGACCACAGACAGTAGAGGGTGCCTGGTATAAAGGACAGGGTAGTCTCATCCGGGCATCGTTAGACTTGCGTGTATGAGTAAGAGAGGGGTTAATCTCCGCTACCTTAAAAATCTATTGTGTCCCCCTTTCTTGAGTTATAGCTCATCATACGGTCTATAACTCATCATACATGGGGATCGGTCTGTTGTAAGGGGGACTGGGTATTTTCCATCCTCCTCTGACAACAGATGGTCATCCTCCGAGGAGTGGGCATCTACCTCCTACGAGGGTATAAACCCCTCTACGGTTGGGGTTTAGCTCTCCGTGTCACAGTCAATAAACTTGTCTCCGGCTGAGGTACCCGTGAGGTATAGGCTGGATGACCTGTCTCTATTTTCTCCACCTCTTTAACTTGGTCTCTCCTTAGACCTGATACCGGTGTTGACCCAAATCTATAATAGAGGATATATCCCTCTTTCTCTATTACATCCTTGGATTTGAGGTCAATTACACTGCAATGGTTAGTCGGTCCACTTCTACATATCCCCGCTTGCAGAAGTAAGGGAGACAAGAGGACAGTTCAGAGGACTACTGTCCCGAACCGCCCGGACCAAGAGGAAACCTGCAACCAAAAATCTCAATATGAGGAAGAATACAATGGGTTGTTCCCTGGTGCCTCAAGGTTGAACCAGATCTTCCATCTAATCACGCATCTCTTTGACGTAGTCCCTTCCTCATACTGAGGTTTTTGGTGAGGTTGTCTCCTCTTGGTCCGGGCGGTTAAGCTAAAGCTAAGAACATAGTGGAGCGACGAGGATAGCGGCGAGCCAGTAGCGCGACATCGCGTCCAAAGCAAACCTGTGAAGACAAGTACGTGTGAACATAGGAAAGCGATCTACTCGTGAGGTTAGATCGAGTGGCGAGGTCGATTCAAATAATTTTATTTTCGTCGCTCTGTCGCGCTGTAGAAAACGATGGATTCCCAAAAATTAATAGATTTAGTGTTTGTAAGAGACTTTATGGGACCTAAAAGATAGTAATCACCATAACCGGTACATTTTAGATAAGTTATGAGATGAAATGGTAACAAATTTTTGTAAAGGTTATGAAACTTGTCATACTCTCTCCGGGTTTTGAAAATTTCATGTTGTAGTGTACAAATTTCATGTACACTACACCTTTTGGCTTATTGGTTTCGAATAAACTAAATGTTTGCGACACTACTGTCCAGAATTTTAGCTACTGTTAACATTTTAAATTATCAATAAGCAAATGAAACTGATAAAGTTGCAAGTACCTCGCTATTCCTCGCCGCTCTACTATGTTTCAACACCTCGAGGCTTGCTCCACGCGGCATCGCGCCGCTTGCTCACCACTGTACTCGTCGCTCTATTTCCTTAGCCTTAGACTAAGAACATAGTGGCTAAGATAGTGTCACACATGACGACAGACAGTAGAGGGTGTCTGGTATGACGGACAGGGTAGTCCCATCCGGCATCGTTATACGTCTTGGTGCAATTTTCTGGCCACGACACTACATCCAGGAACAAGACAATGAGATGTTCCTTAGACCCAGCCAAAGTGCCAGAGGGGAGTCCTCTTATTTTGAACCTTAGCGTACCTGAGGTACCTCTATACTAAATAAATAGATCAGCTCTAATATCATGTGATAAGGATTTCCCTAACGGACTACAAAATATTTAAACGCGGATTGCTTCATGCAAGACAAAATTAGGAAAAATTAAAATTAAAGGTTAGAATGATATAGATCCGGCGGAACTGGAATCTGGATGCGCATGTCCATGAAGCTTGATGTATCTCCGGATCCAACTCTTTTAAAATACCGGATCTACCCATCTCTAATCAGGCATTTAAAAATGAAAAAAAAACGATAGAAATACATGCGTAATTTTAATTAAAAAACGCTTTTCTGAACATCTATCGTTTTCGGACACCCATCGTATTTCCCGTGTGCTCTTCAACTATGTTTAAACTTACTAGTGATGCGGTAATTGGTTTGTCGGTTAACGAAATCGTAAGAAGGGTACTGAATAAAGCCACTCTAGTTGTAAATAAGCCAAAGGCCATGTAAACACCTCGAACGTATGCAGACTTAATAATAATTTTTAATTCAGCTTTCCTAGAGTTTCCGATGAGCTTAGCAAACGGTTTTTCCCATGCATACATTTTTATAACTTGAATTCCTGATAGAATTTCATCCATCAACCGTACCCTTTCATCTGTTTTTAAGGCGGTGGCTTTCCTGTAAACCGCAGCAAGTTTACCCAAGTAACCTAGATAAAATATGTCATTGAAATGATTTTATTTATTCAAAAAAAATCAGAATTGAGATCAATAATGTTTTGCTAACCGTAGTTGGCTGAAGCCAACAATTTGGGAATATATTATGTCGACTTAAAACTTACTTTCAATTCACACATTAAAAATAAACTTACTAATGCATATTGTCGCTTAAAAAACATAGAAATCATATTACACCATACCTAAATAGTAATTCTACCGGGTGCGTATCAAAAGTGGTCCACCCCTGTAACTTTTTTTATTTTTTCAGATAAATAACGATATTTTCTATGTTAGTATATAAACATAAATTAGAATTGATTGACGTATCCAATTGTTTTTGGTCACTTTTAAGGACAGGTACTCATTACCACTGATTGAAGATCAGCTTGATAAACTGGATAAAGTAAAAAAAAATACGTCTCTGGATATGGTGTCCGGATTTCATCAGATCCCCATTCATGAACAATCAATAATTGAAAAGACAGGTTTTGTCACACGAAATGGGCATTTTGAATATTGGAAGATGTCGTTTGGATTAGCTAATGCTTCTGCTATATTCTAGAAGTTCATAAACCTGGCATTAGGAACCTTTATCATTACTGCACATGGATTTCTTGGGACCTTTGCAAATTTCCATTGATAGTTGTAAATACATTCTTGTGATGATTTACTAAATATTGATTTTTATCTCCAGTGAAAACATTTACTATGATGGTCTGTGTCCCGTTAGAGGTATAGCCGAGTGCTGGACTGTGTACTGTCAGATAGGGCTGATGCACTCGACAGGTGCAGCAGGCGAGAAACTGCGGTTTTCACGTATTTGTAAAAAAGTAATTGTCAAGAGTTCTGCTGTGGCCTGTGAGTAGTACAGTCTGGTGGGTTACTTTAGTCTCCGTGTATAAGAGAATGTGTTGTATAAGAGAATGTGTTGTTCTGCAATGAAAAAAACTTATGGAGAAGCACTCCATAAGTTTCTTTCATTGCAGAAAATTCCGGCGAGCTAGTGCCGAGAGCGTCACTGGTGTCAGAATTGTTAGAAATAAATGGTGCGAGCCGTTATCGGTCATGGAGGTAACAAGTAATTTCAGATGGATGATATGGTCGATTCTTGTGAACATGGCAGTCAATATGACAGAAGGCATTCTCCATGCTCGGATCGACAAGCCGTTCGCTTGAGAAAGATAGTGTTATAGTTTTGTGTTTTCTGTATTTTGAATAAAATAATACGTTTAAGCTGTGGTTTAAGTCTCTCGGTTGTCATCAATATAATAGAAACACAAAAAAAAACTTTAAAAGTTTAAACGAGTGATTAACCTGTCTGTCTCCTTTCGTCGTCTTTTTATAATAATCATCTAATTTTAATTAAATTAAACTTTTCCGTTTCCCTTCCAGTGCGACCCAAAAACATTTATTGTTTTTGTTTATCGGTTTATCTTATAATCGCGACAGAGCCCTTTTACCTATTTTTTTTTGTTTAATGTGTATCTTAGAAAAGGTAGATAAACTATTTGAATTTTAATTTGAAATGGAGATTGAAAAAACTTATTCAATTATTACCTTGCAAGGGCACTACAGATATTACTGTTGCAATGCCAAGTATTCCAGCCCATCCCACTTCGGTCCACATAAAATAAGTGACAATTAGGGCAACTACTGGAGATCCCCACATGTGATGAATCAAGATACTAACCAAATCGAATCTACTAACATCGTTGGATAATAAATTCACAATTTTTCCCGAAGCTGTTTCTCCTAAAGCGGTTTTACTTAATCTCAATGACTAAAATATAAAAATAGTATAAATAGTACAATTATTGTAATAGTTCAGGAGTCAGTGAATTTTTTTGTACTATTTCCCAGTGGGTTGGCGCCCATCCCTCGCCGTTGGACTATACCGGGTGCGTCTCAAAAGTGGCTCACACCTATAACTTTTTATTTTTTCAGATAAAAAAAAACTACATTTTGTATGTTAGTATAAGACATAAATTAGGATTAATTGACGTATTCAATTGTTTTTGGTCATTTTGTGTTTCCCGGAAATGACTACAACTTTTGATTATTAAATAACGACCCTAGGTATTTTCTTACTTTATTTGATAGAAAATGACACTCTGAATAGAAGGGCATATAATATCTCAACTTTTGACATTTTCGCATATGGTTTATTTGACATTGTAACATGCGGTTCATAACAAGTTCATGACAAGTTGACTCGAAATACCAAGTGTGTGGTACCAAATTATTCGTAAAAAAATGCTTTTTCCAAATATGTTAATGAGCCACCCTTGTTCCAAGACACGAAAAACATTAATATGATCAAATCTATTTTTTCAAGGCTCCTTGATTAAAAATTAGTGTTTTTAACACAGCCATGGCACTCTAGATTGAAATTTAAAATACGATTTTTTTTTGAACGAAAATTTCAAAAGTTGACATATGATATGTCATTCTATTTAGAGTGTCATTTTCTATCAAAGTAAAAAAATACCGAGGGTGTTATTTAAAAATCAGAAGTTGTAGTCATTTCCGGTGAAACAGGAAAGTTACCAAAACAATTGAATACGTCCAATCAATCCTAATTTATGTCTTATACTAACATACCAAATCTGTTTTTTTTATGTGGAAAAATAAAAAATTTATAGAAGTTTGCCTTTTTTGAGACGCCCCCCTTAAGGTACGCGCACACTGACCACACTATTTTTTCAAAAATTTTACCTTTAGGAGGGGAATTCCACACATTATTACCATAAATATTTAATTGAGGACGAACTAAAAAATTTTCATTATTTCAAAATGAGCCATAAAAAATTTGCGAACTTTCTTAGCATATTGAATTTCTAATCTTCTTTTCGGCTAGTTCGATTCGGCTACCCGCGTAGAATGGAAGGAATTGCGTGTGACGTCAGCAGCACTAGCCGCATTGACCAAAATCATTCTGCCCCAACAATACTGGCCGCATTTTCGTCGATGCGATTCGCGCGGCTCTGACTAGTGTGCGCACCTCCATTTAAAGTAACACAAACAATATTTTCCTTCGGTCAATGCGGCGCGTGTGGCTCTGGTCAGTGTGCGCGTACCTTTAGGTTGCGGATCTTTCCAATTCTTTCAATCAACGATACAACGGGCAGTTAAATTTCACAGTGTTAACCACATTTATTTGTTTTATTAGATAAGATTTTAAATTGAAAAAAAAATATAATATATTTAAAACCAGCATACCTTTCTGTATATAAGTGCACAACATGCTGCTCTCAATTTCATTCCATAATGAAAACCACCCATAAAAACATGATTATTCATTAAACTAGTAATAAATATACAAGAAACTACGGCTCCAGCATATAAAAATGCTTGATTCTTTGTGATATCACTATCATCCCTAATAAAAGTAAAATATAATGAAAAATAAAGTAAAAACAAACAGGTTCAAAAATATTATGACTTATACGATACGAAGCTTGCTTTACTGTTAGTAGTGTTAAATGTTTATTATAACTATAACATTACCTAAAATAATTTAATAGTTTTCCTAACATTATAGGTTGTAATAAAGAGGATGTGTTCATTATAACTAATATAATTCTTAAAATTGTATATTCCGGCCAAAATGAAGCAATCATAGCGAATAAAAGACTAGGTTTTCGATTTTTTTGGACGGATTTTTCATAAATATTATTCCATGATCTGCAATAAAATAACAACATAACATCAGCAAAACATAGAAAGAATTGCGCAACTTTTTTAGTCCTTATCTTCTTACATCTTGTATAATAAATTAATTATATATAAAACTAGTATATATCAAGAAATTAAGTCCATTAAGTGTTGTAACAGCCATATTTTGATATTCATATGAAAAAAACTGCCATTACAGAATAAAATAAAGAGAAAAAATATGGAGAATTCATTCAAGACGGCCACCTTAAAATTTTGATGTATCATAAATTTAATATATTTTGTTCTCGTAGGCCGATTTTAATGATTTTTTAAGCAATTTGTAGCTATATTATTTGACTTTTTAGCATCTCTATCTAAATTAAAAACGAAAGTTCCTGTCTGTAAATTATGCGAGGGAAAACAAAATGTTGATATTATGGTGAAAGTTTGAAACACCCTGTGGAGTATGATAACAAAGCAAGGAACTGAAACAATATTTTATCTTCTAGGTATGTCTTTTCTCGATAGTTTGTTTTTATTCATCTCAATAACTTTATTTTTATTGGAGATATTGGCTTTTGAATAAGACGGTAACTATTTACAGCAATTTCAGCATTAAAAGTCTGCCTTTGCCTTTGGACCCTCATCAACACACTTATAAAATATTGTTTTTGTAATGCCACTGTCATTGTAAAGTCACAGTAATATTGACGTTTACTCTAGTAAAGATGGTTCATTAGATTGGAAAGTGCCCATAAGGACAATGTAAACACTATTTGGCGCTATTCTTGCAACGGTCGCGACCCAAAACTTTTGAAAATTTCGGAGCGGTTCGGCTTTTTCCGGAATTATATCGCCAAATATTGTTTATTCAAATTTATTATTTTCGTTTAATTTTATAAATAAAAGACAGGGTTTTGCATACAAGAAACTTTATTTTATATAAGGACGCATGTATGAAATACCTATGAAACATTGGAAACCGACGTGATGCCACGATCCATAGCCACGATCCACGATGGTTTTTGCAGTTCACAGTTCACAGCATAGCTTTTTAAGTTTTTAATGCCACTTTTTCACAATTATCACCGGTTGGAGTAAATAAAACTTGAATTAAACTCACAAGATAGCAATAATTACTTTGAAAATGGACGCTATAAACACTTTTCGGAATTTCTTTAATGAGAGCGGTTTAGATTTTGAAAGATTATTATGACTTTTGAAGATTCTGACTTTGACAAAAGAAAATTATTTCTGTTTTTGTTTGCCGTTGTTCTTAGCGACCGCTATAGCAGCGCCAGATCGCGTATAACGGTCGCGACCCTAAATAATTTCGCGACCTAAAATTTTTACGGGCTTTCCAATCTAAACTTGTTGCATTTATCTATGAGATGGTTTAAAATTCTGAAGTATGGGCTATTGCTGCTTTAATTATTGATCATGGTAGAGATCAACTTTTGAAAAACATCTCTGCTTGAGTAACTGCCCAAAACACAAAATAATAATATGATTTTTCAAAACTGCATAAAAATAAAGCATAAACATTATTTTATAGGTCTAAATCAAATCAAATCAAATCATTTATTGCATGTTAATAGATACAAGTATCCTTACACAAAGTCATATTTTGTAAAATGCAAAATTATAAAATAAGCACAACAATTATCAAACAGTAATTTAAAGTACACAAAAAAAACAATAAATACACAATGTAAATGTTTTGACCTATAACCACGCTATAACCCTTCACTGCTTTCTAAAAAATCAGTAACACCACAGGTAACACTAAAATAAGCCATATCAGAAGATAGCTTTTAATTGTCGTTTTAAATTGATGTCTTGGTAAACTTGTGACATTTTGAGATAATTTATTAAAGCATGCAGGAGCATAATGAAGGCTGGAGTTCCAAGATCTTCCGAGGCGCAAATGTGAACAGGCTTTATATTCATTCTGTTTCTGGTTGCATAATTGTGTTGTTCATCATGCGTAGTATATAGTTCTAGGTTATCCTTCACAATTAAAAGATACTGGAGGATATAGTAACATGGAAGTGTCAGTATTCCCATTCTTTTGTAGGCGTTTTTTGTATCTGTTTGACAACTTAAATTTGACAAAATTCTCAATGCTTTTCTTTGCAATCCAAACAGTCTGTCAGCATGAGCTGAGTGACTCCAAACAAGTATTCCATAAGTAAGCACCGAGTGAATGAGAGCATGAGGCAGCTAACACATCACTCTCCACACACTTAGCCAATCGCCGAAATGCATACATGCTTATGGAAACCTTCCCTGCCACATAGTCTACGTGATTTTCAAAACTCAGTTTTGTGTCAAATTTTATTCCCAGAAATCGGACGCTGCAGAAATCTACTTTATATTTTATTTTAAGAGAAAAAATAACTCTTTCTGTTTTATGTCATTCAGGCATAATCGGTTTGCCTGAAACCAGTCACCAACATTTAGCAAAATCGATTCAAAATCAGTTTGAATTTCTTCAGGGGATTTCCGAGCACATAAGATAGTAGTGTCATCGGCAAACAAAATCATATGATTCTGAAGTGTAGCCACGGGTAAATCATTAATGTAAATTAAAAACAAGTTCTGTTGTCTGTTCTTGTCTGTTGATTAGGACCAAAAGCAAAGGTTTGATTTTATTGTAAAAATACGATGTTACTAAAAATACAGCTATTGAGATGAACCAAAAAGTGAACTATGGAGAAAGGATACACCTAGATGATAAAATTATTTATAAACTCCTTGCTTTGTTAACATACCTCCACAGAGTGTTTCAAACTTTCACCCAAATATCAACATTTTGTTTTCTGTCGTATAATTGACACATGGAAACTTTAGTTTTTAATTTAGAAAGATATACTAAAAAGTCAATCATTTGGCTACATATTGCTTTAAAAATCATCAACATCGGCCCAATAGAACAAAATATATTAAACTTTGAAATACATCAAGATTTTAAGGTGCTCGTTTTTCGTGCCGGTGAGTGTACTTGCTAAACAAAGTCAACAATAAATCATTAGATGAGCGGTCCAGCCAGAATTTTAAAAAATGACGAAGTCATATATTATATAGAAAATATTACCTCTGCAATTTTTAAAATAAAAAAAATCAAAGTTAATAGATATTTAAAAAAGGCAACGCTTATTCTCTAGGAAAAAAACGTTGTGGAGAATCTGCAAAAAAACAGAAATAATATTTTTGTAATGGTAAAGTCTGGAATGAAATATCTGGTGCCGCAACTACAGTTTGTCCAGCTGAAAACAATACGCTCATAACAGAGATATAAAAAAGATAGGCATTATCCGAGGCATTATCTTTCTTCGTTCCATATGAACCATAGTACTACAACATCAGAGACAATATCTGCATACATCTGTAAAGGTCTAGTTAGTACATGCGAATATTGTACTGTTTCCTATATACAGGGTAGTCCGAATTGTATTCGGGAAACCTTCGGTGGTATATTTTGCAAATAAAATTATGTAAAAAAATCGAATAAGGATGTCCTAAAATGCAGAACGTTTACAAACAGAATGTTTATAAACAAAACAATGTCTCGTTGTCCTTCTCCATTGGATTCTATTGAATGTTTTATATTTTATTACTACATATTGGGGTACATATATAAATTAAAAACACTTACCTTTCTAATCTATCACCTAAAATCTTACTTCTATCACTTTTGATTGGATTATATAAGTCATCCACTTCAAATGTCTTTGAATATCCTTTTCTAAACATTCCTATTGTATATCTGAAAGTAATTGTAAAAATTTAACCATAATAGCTACATAAATTACGAAAAACAACTGACGTAGAAATGCAAAAAATATAGGTAAATTGAATAAAGTTGTGCACTAGTGAGATTAATAATATGCTGTTTAGAAACTATAAAATTCCGAGTATATCTGGAGATATTCCAGAAAACTAAAAGTTAAAGCTTTCAATTTTATTTTTTTCTGACGACATTTGACAAGGTTAGGTTTCTTAAAACAAAAAGCACCCTTGTGGACTGCCCAGAGACTTTTACCTCGGAATTCAATAATTATTGTGAATGTATTAATGAGAAAAACCTTCTGCACTGTGTTTTATAAAAATTATATATCACTGTAATCACAAAACTTCAATCTATTTCCGTATTGTAACGGTATTTTAAATTATTTCTTTATTTTCGAGAAAATTTAGTCCAAACATAAGGAATATTTTGTTGATGTTTGACAATTAAAATCATAAAAATAGAGAAGTTGTCTAGATATGTGCTACAATACGGATATAGTATCCTTTATCTGTAATTCCCTTCTTCATTTGTGTAAAAATACCTAGCCAGTTTTATACGTTAAATGCCGAACGCTTATTTTGCCACTTTTTCGGAAAAGTGAAACGAACTCTTAATAAAAAGTACTGCATAACTTTGCTTTCATTTGCTTTACTTAAACTTATATTAGCATTGTCTACTTATGACCCATTAACTGTAATCTAAAATATTTAATTTTTATCAGATATAGATTTTCAACCTAAACGAAGTAAATGAATGTTGTTTTAATTGTACGCCGTTGATTTTTTAGGAATAGGAAATACAGAGATTTGATTTTCTAAATATCGATTTTCATTTTGATTTAGATTAAGTAATATGGCGGCTCTGTTAGTGACCTAAGCCCCCTCAAAAAACTTTAACCCACCTAAAAGTTTGTGTCTAGTTGCCCCTTGCCTATAATGCTTAACCACCGAATATTAACTAAAGATGGTGTTAATTAAACTGTGACTTAAAACACATCTTTTTCTAAAAATATACTGTATATCTGTTAGCCACGTTCTATTTCTATATTATTTATAGATTTATTTAAACGGTTTTTTTTTCATTGATGCGATTTTTACTCAAGGTTACAACTATTGTTTTTTATTATATTAAATGTAACTGGCTCGTGATCAAATGGCAAGGAATTTATAAATCCTTAATCTTTGCAAATAGTCTGTAGAATAATGAGTATTTTAAACAGCATTTGGAAAGTTAAACATAAAAAAATGATCCACTCGAATCAAATACATAATATGTATATCTAAAAACAAAGATTAAATCACTTAGATCAATGACTTAGAGATAATTAGTAAACCAGATAATACTGACTGATATAATGATATAATATAAAACTAGTGAATAGATGCGGATTGGTGTAATTTAAGTGTTTTACAAATGTATTCTTACTTATTTTAAACATATGAAATTAGAAGTTGAAATAATGAAAAGGTTATCTTTCGATTGTGTGGTTTTGAAATATTGGTTTAAAATATACAGGGTGAGTCTTAAATAAGTGCAAGTATTTTCAGGACCGGTAGATCTCGATAAAAAAAACATATCTCTTTTTACCGATGTTCAAATAAGTCCAAAATAACGGAGATATTTTACTTAAAAATAAATTTTCCCTTAAATTTTGAAAACCACTGGATCTTTTCTGGATTTTCTTTCTTGTAAATATAATCTACTACAAGGCTAGGTACTACATATTTTGCCATACTATAAAGATATTACGTTTCTTAACTAAAAATAAAAAAAATATCCAAATAAGATTTTTTCAAAAAATTCCAAATTTTCAACTTTTTTTGCGAAAAAAACCTCGTAGACATGTTTCTGAGATCGAAATATATTATCCCTAAAAATATTTGCACTGATTTAGGGGTCACCCTGTATATTAAACATTTTCGTAAAAACTATTAAGTAAATTACGTTATTGAATCATGATAATTAAATGACTATATCTATAAGTATAAGCTGTGGTATAAGTATAAATAAAGTTGAGATTATATCAACATCGTCATGCACAATAATTACTTATATTATATATTATATTCTTACAGATAAGAAAGAATATACTATTAGAAGAACATAATCAATGCACTAATGCTATAATAAATGAATTTAATGAGTTTTTATTGTCTCCCTTCCCCCCCCCTCCCCCCTTCCTTAACCAAATCCAAAAGTACTGAGTACTTCCTGAAATTTGTATACTTTATAGAGACGACTCATTCGGTGAGCTGTCTTTTTGGAATTAATAATGATTATGATTTTAAATACAATATGATAAAAAAATGGTGTCAGCGGTGGCTATGAAATGAACGCCGTCTGTTTTCGATGATAAGGTATATATTTAATAACGTTAAGAAAATTATGATTTTTTTACAGACAAATATTATAATATTGTGTTATTGTGTGTACCGTAGTTTGTAACTCTTCAAATTCGCATGTAGAAATTCTCTACATTCGTATGTAGTCTCCTATACACAATATGTGCTGAATACTGAATATGAATTGAGAAAAAAACAAAACTCATGATTGATGTCAAAAGACCAAAATATAAATACTACAATATTAATGGGGCACAATAATAGATAAAACTGCGGAACAATTGCAAGAAATTAAATCAAGGATTGAGATAGCCAGAAATTGTTTTTTAAAACTCTTGTTTTTATTTTACTGGTTTTGCATTGTTACCTGTGCAGTTATAATTTAAAAATAGATGCAGTTTTTCTTAAATTAGTTAAAAAAATCCAAAATTGTTCAAATTTGATATATAAATTTAGCATACGCAGACCTTTCAAATAACTATTTACGACTTCGCAGTAAAATTAACATGGGAGCCAATATTTGGATAGTTCAAAATTTGCATGTGAGTTATTTCTATGTTTCCAACGACGATGAACGATGAACCACCTGGTAGCGTATTTCTATAATATATCATGTAAAGAGTATAGTGTTTCTAAGGCTTGCCCTCTAGCTTACTTCAGCAGTAAAGTCTCTAAAGTGTTTCAAAAAACATGTACCATCTCTCGTGAGGAGACTCCTCGTGTAAAAATAAGATGCATTTCTTATATCAACATACCGAGTGCGTCTCAAAAGTGGCTCAGCCCTATGACTTTTAACTATTTTTTCAGTTAAAAAAAAACGAAATTTGGTATGTTAGTATATGACATAAATTAGGACTGATTGACGTATTCAATTGTTTTCGGTCACCATCATTCATTCATCAGTCATCGGTCAAGCGATCTCTTGAAACAAGAGGGGCAGAACGCGAACAGCAGAGACTGAGATAGGTACCAAAACTGTAGTTGTTAAAACAACGCAAGGAACTCCTTGCGAACACACTTCCGAGTGACCTCCCCCTACTGTGGAGCTTGGTAATGGATGAACTACTGGAAGAATTAACTCTAGCGGGAATACACTGCATAGGGTATGCAGATGACATAGTCGCCATTGCACGGAGGAAACATGAAGGCACCCTGTGTGATATTATCCAAAGAGGACTCCGCATCGCGGAGAGATGATGCAGGACTGTTGGGCTGAGTATTAACTCAGATAAAACCGCAGTAATGTCATTCACCAGAAAGCGAAGTTTGAAAAACGAATGAATGAGAAGAATGGCCATTGACGGAAACAGTACTGGGAGAATTTTCAGGTCAGTGGCCTGGAACACCCTCAAAAAGAAAATTCCACTTCTCCAACTCCCAGTGGATGACATACGAAGAATTTACAACTTTGAGAAACACCTCACTGTAGTATTGAGTAATAAAAAGGATTGGAAGAAAGAAACGCTTACTCAGCATATCAAAGACCATACCATCACGTGGTATACTGATGCTTCCAAAACCAAAGCAGGGACAGGGATAGGAGTATTTGGGCCGAAAACTAAATACTCCGAACCAATGGGCACCTACCCCAGTATCCTTCAGGCAGAAACTTATGCTATCGAAAGATGCGTACAATTTATCTTAGATAGGAACTATCAAAAACAGGAAATTGCCATCATATCCGATAGTCAAGCATCACTTAACGCGATCAACTCAGTAACCATCAATCCGAAGTTGGTCAAAGAATGCCTAGAGAAGCTCAACAAATTAGGCAAAGAAAATAAAGTCCTCCTACTCTAGTTGCCTGCTCACCAATGGATAAAAGGCAATGAAAAAGCAAACGATCTAGCTAGGAAAGGAGCGAACACTCCACTAACTGAACCAGAACCGTTCTGTTTTCCAAACGGGAACCAACTGAAAGCCGAACTGGAGAATCTGGAAGACTCCATCCGTCACTTGGAATGGGTGTCCTCCAACGGTCTAAGACACTCGAAAAAGTTCCTCAGAACTTACGACCGAGAAAAATCAAAGGTTTTCCTTGATTTAAGTAAAAACAATCTTCGGATTGTCACGGGGTTTCTAACAGGACACTGTCTCCTCGACGAACGCCTCAGTAGGCTGAAGCTGAGAAACAACGGTGAATGCAGATTTTGTGGGGAAAATGGGGAAACACCAGAACACCTTATCACTAAGTGCGCCGAGACGACGACCATTCGTGCCATGAACTTTGGTACGTCTGATGTCGAGGATGGAGGGCTGGTCGCTGTGGAGCCGTCTCAGATACTGGCTTTTGTTAAAGCCCTGAGACTGTACGATGAGTTATAACTCGTTATAACTCAAGAAAGGGGAACACACAATAGAAATGACATAAATTGGGATTGATTCACGTATTCAATTGTTTTTGGTCACTTCCGGTTTCATTGGAAATGATTACGACTTTTGATTTTTAAATGGTACCCTCGGTATTTTTTTACTTTATTCGATAGAAAATGACACTCTGAATCGAATGACATATCATATCAACTTTTGACATTTTGGCATATGGTTTATTTGATATTGTAACATGCGGTTCATAACGACAATTTGACTCAAAATACCAAGTGTCTGGTATCAAATTATTTGTAAAAAAATGCCTTTTCCAAATATGCTAATGAGCCACCTTCGTTCCGTTTGAAAAAAAAGGCATCTTTTAAACAGCCAGGACAAGACACTAAAAACATTAGACGATCAAATATATTTTTCCAAGGCTCCTTGATTAAAAATTAGTGTTTTTAACCATGGCACTCTAGATTGAAATTTAAAATAGAATTTGTTTTTCAGTGACTATGTCAAAAATTGACATACGATATGTCGTTCGATTCAGAGTGTCATTTTCTATCGAATAAAGTAAAAAATACCGAGGTACCATTTAAAAATCAAAAGTTGTAGTCATTTCCGGTGAAACCGGAAGTGACAGAAAACAATTGAATACGTCAATCAATCCCAATTTATGTCATATACTAACTTACCAAATCTCGTTTTTTTAACCGAAAAAATAAAAAGTTATAGGGGTGAGCCACTTTTGAGACGCACCCGGTTGGTCCGATTCAGCTGTGTTTCGTAGCTGCGGGGTGTTAGTCTTCATTTTTTTTTCGATTTATTCTAGTTTTCTTGGGGGTAATTTTGTGGGCAAAAGTTACTATAAGATAAGTGCCACATATTTTAGTACTAAAAAGTGTTGACAGATGACAGATTCAGCAGGGACGTGCATATGGGTTATCACAGTGTATCTTGATATTTTGTCGATTTCAATCTCCTCCATGAGATAAACACAATTTTATTAATAACAATTAATAATATAAAAGTAAAATAAGATTAATAAAATATTTAAATTATTATTAAATTTATTAAAATTTATAACACTGATATTCAGTACTACCCACAACAAATTTTAAAAAAATAATGGTATTTAAGAGAATTTCAAAACACCTATTTTTTTAAAAGTTTTAACATCCTGTAACTTTAAAACTATGCATTTCCGCACCTATGTTTATAGGAACTGTTTTTTATATTTTTTGATGAGGAATGAATGAGTACTTTAACTACTGACCAAAGTATTTAACACTTTGACCAGTTAATGACAATAAACATTTTGAAGTTTGCTAATAGACTTGAATTAATGCTAATTAATAAAATTGTGTTTATCTCATCAAGGAGACCGAAGTGAACAAAATATCAAGATACAAGTTTTAATCCGCATTAACTGGCCTACACAACTGCTAACAAGAGAAAAAAGTCAGTGGCGCACATGTTTTTTTTGTATGTATCGCCCGTTTTTGTCGCCCACGTAGGACGAAGAGTTTTATTTTAGTTTTAGTTGCAACAGACGCTTTAACGCTTGACGCGCATAATCGCTTTCTTCAGCAATGCGACTACAAACTATATCTGATTTTGGTACATTTTCCAATTCCTTTCTATACCGCGAGAGATATCTTCCCTGCTGAACTAAAACTGAGAACGGGGATTAGGGACCCTATAATATGCCCTCTACATGGTATATTATGGAAATACGCCACCTGGTATATACTTTCAAAATAGTAATTTATTAATTAATAATAATTAATGTCTATAATACATCATAATACTTACGTGAAGAAAAGCAGGCCGAAAGGCGTCGCCTTCTCTCTTGGATTGGGATTAAGACGTTCTTTAGTAAAATCCATTATGTATGTAAAGTTTCCACTTTATTCTTCTTTTTCTCTGTTAAAAATAGCCTCAAAATTTGAAACAAAACTTCGAAGTTTGAATTGTTTTTAGGCTTAATTCGGTTTGGCACTTTGGCACTCTTATTTAAATCTGAAAAAGAAAAGATAAGACGTTAAAAACAATTTAGATTATAATAAAAATGTAATATTAATAATAATTATTTTTACGTTTAAATAAATGGTGTTGAGAGATCATAATCAAACCCGTTTCTCAAAAAGAAGTAAATATTTTTATATTTTCATTATAACAGGGTTAATGTTTTCTTTTTGCCGCCTTATATATTTGAAGCATATATAAAAAAATATTAAATTTCATAAAGTAGGCTTATAATATAAAAAAAAATTATCCATAGCTATACAATAATACCTACATACAGAAAGTTCGCAACAAATGGGAAATTTATTTATTATGAAATTATAAAAAATATTCATGTGGTATAAATTCAGCATGCCTAAAACCTTCGAATATATACATACGGAAACACTGGCGTAGCTAATACCAGTATAATCGGTGCTAAAACGAAAAAAAAACTATTTTGACATATATGTCATGTAACAACTGAAGGGTAAGGAAAAAAACTGACGATATCACGAAATCGACTTGAGGAAAAAATTATGATTTCATATTGCCAAATAACTATGTTAGAGATACAAAAATGTATTACTGTATACTTTATTATTTAGTCATGGTTTGTTATATTAAATTACAATTTAACATGTCATTGTGTTTGGGACTTGGGTAGTTAATTACATAAAATGAACATTGTCGGTTTTTCCTTTTTTTTCTTTTCCCTCAACTGAAGTAGCAACCATTTAAAAAAATATATTTAACCCTTTCGAGAGGAAGACTTCTGCGGATAAATTTGCCCCACAGCCGGGAAAAATGGCTCTAAGAATCTGTTTCATATAGTAGCCGAGAAAAAGTGAGATTTATTTGTTAAAGTGGAGGTTAGTGATGAGGTGAGAAAACAGCAACGAACAATTACCTATCTAAAATGGCAAGAGGAGTGGGATATATCCGAAAAGGAAAGGTGGACTAGAACGCTAATCCACAACGTGGAGAACTGGACGAGTAGGAAACATGGAGACATGGACTTTACTTATTATGTTATACAGTTCCTTTCCTGGCATGGAGTCTTCATGGACTTCTTGCACAGAATAAAGAAAAGACCAAATAACAGCTGCATATACTGACATACGCTGTCCAAGATGGAAAATCGTACAGAAGAGGAAATGTACAGTACAACAGATGCGAAAGAACACCGAATTACGCGTTCAGGTTTCTGTGACCTTCAGAAAGAGTTCATAGACAATCCGCATCAATGTATAGTTTGGGTTATTATTTGTTTGGGTGAAAATAATCTGCACCAATATGTTATCGAGGCATACAAAAAGGTCCACAGACTTCGAGACATACGAAAAATCAAGTCCATTTAGCGTGTGTCGCAATTTTCACACCTTAAAAACTTAGTTTTTTATAGCTATAGCAACTGCAGCGACTATGAAAAAAGCTGTGTGATTTTTCATAGAAAATAAGGGCACCTGTAATTCATTTGAGAATGTTATAAATCGCTAAAAGAGGTTTCAAATCTCTTGGATTTCTATTAATATTAAATAAATTTTATTAAAAATTGCACTAAAATTGTTAGTATCATTAAAAACAATTCAAATTCAAAAATTGTATCAGTCACCTTTAAGTGCATTTAAGGTGAATATTAAAGTAAATATAAATACAGCTCATTCTAAGCTCTACTTATCTTTAAGAAAAATTTAAATCATTGTTGCAATTGGGCCTTAATGCCATTTCGAATGAACAATAGTATTAATAATGTACATTTAATAATAATAAATTTTATATCATAGTGTGTATTAAAACTACTAAAACCCTTTTAAATTGATATTATATTAACAACTTTTGTTTTTTAATCCAAAAAAAAGTTACCAATTTTCTCAATCAGAATATTTGCGGTCCTGAAAAGGACCTCCGTTTTCCCATGTCCGTCAAGGTAGGTAATGGGTAAACGGTAAAAAAACAGGATAATGAAATTTAAAAAATTACAAAAATTGTTCAAAAGTGCCTCCCTCTTGCATTAAACAATAACCCAAATGATCATAAAATCCCCTCCACACATTGGATAACATATCAGGGGTGACAGTGTCAAAGGCATTAAATATTTTCTGTCTTAACTGCTCCAAGTTTTTAATTTCTTCATGGCCGTAAATTTTAGATTGTATGTACTCCCATAAAATCATTCACCGAGAAGTCAGGCGAAATTAAATGTCAGTCTAAACAAAACTGTAATTTTTGAAAACTTGTCAAAATTTGGACACACGCTAACTGGACTTGATTTTCCTATGTCTCGAAGTCTGTGGACTTTTCTGTATAATCTCACAGTAATTTAATAGATTGCTCGTCATATTATATCAGCTCGTAGGAGATTAGGAAAAAAAAAGATATTTATAGTTTAAAAAATAATTTATTTAACAAAATTTAATTAAAGACGTGACAAAATAGTTACATTTCTATTGGTTCTATCGGACTTTTTTCGACTGTATAAATCTTTATTTTTTGTACTAACTTTAATGCATAAAATATTTTCAATCTAATAAATAATTTAATGATGTAAATAAGAGGAAATTTCTCACATGGGTGGTCAAATTCTATAGTTTTCATTATATCAAACAGCCTCTGAATGTTTTCTTCAGTGCAAAACTCATCAAAATTTAATATAAATAATTTTTCCAGCCTGCAAATAAAATGAACAAATTTTTCCACTTTCATGATCAAAGGCTTTTAAATGGGTAAATAATTTCGAGTTATCCAGAGATTCGGATTCTTTTGCAAATTTTAGACAAATATCACATTGATGTATTTGAAGACCCTTTTTAATGATGTAGTCAAACATAATTAAAGGCATTTTGAATTGAAAACATTTCTCAGAGGCTGTTTGATATAATGAAAACTATAAAATTTGACCACCCATGTGAGAAATTTCCTCTTATTTACATCATTAAATGATTTATTAAATTAAAAATATTTGATGTATTAAAGTTTACAAATAAAGATTTATATAGTCGAAAAAAGTCCGATAGAACCAATAGAAAGGTAACTATTTTGTCACATTTTTAATTAAATTTTGTTAAATAAATTAATTTTTTATACTATAAATATCTTTTTTTTCCTTATAAATAAACACATCCCATTTTAAAAAAGATATACAAATTACCAAAACTTAGAAATAACAGTTTAAAAGTTCAACAAAAATCCTACACGCGTTTTTAAAAAGAAACATATAACCACGCACTATGTCATTCCAGCAAGCGAATACGATACAGCATAGGTTTCCGGACTAAACGACTGGTGTATTTACACCACTCAATAGGCGTGTCGGGTTTGCCGAGCGGTTTCCGAGCAGTCGCTTTCTTTCGCATCTGTTATAGGTAATTTGTGGTTAGGTTGTGACTAGCTACCACCTCCTGCAGCAAGCGTCGGGAGCCTTCGTCTCCTCTAGACCTAATAAGCGACACAAGCTAACGTTTCGTCTACCCGGCCTAGTTAACCAGGCGGGTCTAGACGTTCCTCTGAGAGTAGGTCTTAGCAAAGCAGAGTAAAGGCACGGACATACCTCCGCCTGAAGGATTTGCTCCAGAGGAAGCAAAAGCAAAAACACTCCTCGGAAAAAGGGAGAGTATATGTTACCTTCCGTATCGGCTACCTTCCGTTTCCCTTCCGTTTATATAAAATATATCATGTAAATGAAGAGGACAATGCACAATGCACACTATCCGCTCTGTTTCCCTTCCTTGCCCTATCCTTTCCTCCCATACATTTTTTTGGCGGATAGACTGAAGTGTATCGGAAACAGCGTTGTCAAGTTCTTACATTTGTACCAGCTCTGTTAATCTTTTGCTAATTATTTATTCTTTCACCTATTAAATAAAATAAATAAATAAATCTATAAATTTTTAAAATAAAACTTTCGTAATGATATAAATTGTACAATAAAAAGTATGGAACTGATAAGGAATGGAAGCTTACGTATAGCACCAATACAATAAAAAATACGCCGGTACGGATATGGAATGGATATTGAATGGAATCGGCGGATTGGTTGGTGGAAATCGCACCTAAGCTTAAAAATTGGCAAGGGCCGGGGCTGGTTGCAGTAAAGGGAGAAAACATCTCAAAAGGGGCGGCCATCACGGTCTTTCTGCCGAGGAGCAACAGGAAAGACACCACCTACCTGCTGAGGCTTTTATTCAGGCTCAGAACTCCAATGTAAGTACCTATATCGAGTTGGCGAGTCATGAACTCGAGGGAGGAGGGTTATGGTTAGGTCCTCACAACAGGAATTGACCTCAAATCCAAGGAAGCAATAGATAAAGAAGGATATATCCTCTATTATCGATTTTTTTTTAATAACCCCGGTATCAGGTCTAAGGAGAGACCAAGTTAAAGAGGTGGAGAAAATGGAGACAGAAGGGTGTATACCCTCGGAGGAGGAACATCTGTTATCAGAGGAGAATGGGAAATACCCTGTCCCCCCTACAACAGGAAAATGTATGATGGGTTATAGACTGTGAAACTCGTTTTTAACAGTGATATGACTGATATTAAGCATGGGGAAAGATATAGCTGATAGAGACCATGGTGTTCAAAATGACACCTGAAGAATCTTTTTTTGTAGAAGTGTAATATTTGCACTTATTTTATAATATTTATTATATTGTAAATTGAATTAAACAATCAATTTAATGGGAAAATTAAAACGATAAGGTTTTGTTGTAAAGAATATAGAAAATTCTAAACCGCAAATTCAACACTCTACCAACACAGATTTCATCAGATTTGAATTGACTTTATCAGAAAGTAAACATAGCAAAAGATAATACTTAATATATAAACAAGGATAATACTAATTAAAATACTACTTGATATTATGCTTTACTATTAAAAATAATGATTCATTATAATTGTTTTACATTTTTTGTTAGTAAGTACTTAAAAATACTATAAATCAAATAAACCGTACCGTTGTTTCTTTTTCTGGTGCAAATGACATTAGTGACTCGCGAGCTAGTACTAAAAAA